ACGGCAGAATATTCAAATTATTGGTACATTTTTTAAGTGTGAGATACCCCACGTGTGAAAAGAGTGGCAGGTAAACCAGTTTTCTGTGGTGTGCACACGAACTGCTTCCACTCACTGACACTCCTCGCTCAGACGGGATGTCCGGCAAGAGAAAATGTGACTTTGACACAGAAAATCGTCCCGTTCAACTGGCAGCACCAATCAGACCAAGTCAATCCAACATGTTGGAAAGCCCGGATTTAAGCTCAAAGCAGGCCTGACGTCCTTCCAAGCAGACGAGAGCGCTCGTAACACAAAAGGTAGGATCACCTGATACGATTATCTTTAGAGCCATTAAAGTAATTGAGCACATCCTTACGGTCGTCAGCAGGGTAGGTCACGGTTATTTGGCCCCGCCCCCGCCATGCAAACCAACGGGAGAATTTTCCAAACAATCAAAGAAAATTGTTTGATATTTTTTTGCAGGTATTTGTTGATTCACATCCTGACCTTGCTGCTGCATATTTTTTTAATACGATTAATGAACACATTTAATTATTTGATGCACCGATAATGTGTGAAACTATCGGTTATGATTCCACGGATTCTGAAAAATACAACATGGCCTCTAAAAATTACTCCTCTTAAGGATTGCTCGCGGGTCATTTTTATTTCTTTAAGGTCACAAATCAGCTTCTCAAAGCAGCCGTGCACGACCGGTTGTTTTACATAACGTGTAGCGGTAGTGAATTACAGAGCCACTGTCTTTGTTTTTGTTGCTCAGACCTGGACTTATGTATTTGCTGATACGGAACAATTACCAGAAGTCTTTTTTCCTGAGGATAAATAAAGCTGCATAGGTGAATGCTAAATCGCGTTAGCTCCTCCAGATTACTGCTGCAGCATTTAGCTAAATGTAAAGTTCTCTGTTTACATCACAGATGATTACATTAGAAGTGGCAGTAAGACCCCTTCCCTCTCATGTTGTTGTCTAGTCAGCTGCACAGCCTCTCTGAACAGACCAAAGCTGGAACGCCAACAGCCAAAGAGGTGGGCAATAATGTTTTTGCCTGTATGTGAACAACAAGTCTGTCTGCTAATTATTAGTCTTCAGCTGTTTTTAAAGGAGACCACTGAGTCCACTGATCTCAGGCTCAGGGGGAGAGAGTTCCAGAGTCTGGGGGCCACAGCAGCAAATGATCTGTCACCTTTGACCTTTAGCCTGGTGCTGCACAACCAGTAGGCTTTGATCACTGGACCTCAGGGACCTGCTGGGGGTGTAGGGACTAAGAAGATCACCAATGTAAGATGGTGCTTGTTCATGTAAGGCCCTATAGACCAGAACCAGGATCTTGAAGTGAACCCTGAAGGTGACTGGCAGCCAGTGAAGCTGGAGGAGAAGCGGGGTGATGTGGGTGTGTTTGGAGGACTTGGTCAGAAGACGAGCACAGGCGTTCTGAACCACCTGTAGACGGTTCAGGGAGGTTCTGCTCAGACACGTGAAAAGAGAGTTACAGTAGTCTAAGCGTGAGGAGATGAAGGTGTGGAGAACTGTCTCAAGTTCAGAGCGGGACAGAATGGGACTCAGCTTAGCAATGTTCCTGAGATGGAAGAAGGAAGAGCGAACAAGAGAACTGACATGAGAATCCAGGGTGAGAGCTGGGTCAAAGGTCACGCCAAGATTCCTGACAGAAGGTTTGGTGTGAGAAGCAAGCTGACCAAGAGAGTCTCTGACTTTGGGAACCAGCTTGTCTGGGGCACAAATGAGGATCTCAGTCTTATCTTCATTCAGCTGAAGAAAGCTCCCAGCCATCCAGGTTTTGATAGAGTCTAAGCAGGTGTGTAACTGAGGTCCTGAGGTCTGTGAGTCTGTTGGATAGAGAGGGTGGAGTCTGATGCACAATGAGTGTTACAACCACAAAAAGACGGCTGGAACACCTGTTAACTTCTCCTCGTAATGGCCCCGTCACGGCCCGCTGGGCGAGCGGTCCGGGCTTCCACTAGCCCAACCACACGGCTCGTTGCACATGAAGAATTCAGTATGGCCTTCTGATGTCACCCTAATGCCCCTCAAAGCAGAATCTGCTGCCTGATTGTGTAGAAATTAAATGCTCCTACATGAAGTGTCGCCCCGCTGATGTTATTTTGGGCTCAGGATCAATAAAAACACTAGAAAGCAGCAGCAGGGCTGCAATAAATCCAGTTACCTTTAGAGTATTTCATACACATGCGCGGGTACAAAAGACTAAATGTCAATACAGGTAGCTCTTTTGGAAATGAGGCGACTGTGAAAAGTGGGCCAGTGGGCATGCTTTAGTGGAGGCAATTACCAAATCTGATCTAAATTTTAGCAGACTTCATTCTTCTCATCAGCATCATTAAAACACTCGTTTAGCATGGACAGCAGGAAAGAATGATCTCTAACGCCATTAGTGAAGGCAACCGCTTCACTTTTGATAGCTCCTGCTCTGAAAAATGTTCTGAGTCCCACTCTAATGGGCTGTGTTCATCGACAGAGATGTCTGTTTTCTTTTTTTGGGTCACGCGTCCCAATGTGCAAAGCTGCTGGAAATGCATTTAGCAATAAAACTTTACATGCAGTTTTTTTTCTGAAACACGTTTTGTTTAATAAAGGATCCATTTAAAAAACTATTTATTTTATTGTCCTGAATAGTACTAATAGTTCCATCTGCTCATTAGCAGATAAAAAAGTATAAACCTTCACAATAGCAGGTTTTCCTCCTATAATCTGAAAATGCTGCTTTGTTATTAATGCATCCGCTGAGTGCTCGCTCACCTTCACTGTTTTCTCTTTGCTTTCCCTGAATCAGCATTTAAAATAAAAATTCCAGATGCAAATTTGCTTTTCGCCTCCGTGATTAGCACCTGCAGGAAGAGTTCTGCAGACGATGGCTGCGATTCTGCTTAGAAACAGTCAGAAGATCCACTGAATCGCTCGTCCAAACGCACCTGAACGCCTCAAATGGGAAGAATTTGAGTTTTCTGTATCAGAGCCTGCAGAGTTGCTGCCTGAACGTTGCACAGAATCTTACCCAGAGTCCCGAGGTAGCTAAAAGTAGAATTATATGACACTGATGCAAAAAGATGAGAAAATTAGTCCTCTTCATGTTGGTGCTAGTGAGTAAATCTCAGTAGAAATAGTTTCTTTTTATCTGATGATCCTTTGTGGGGGAATTTGTCATCCTGCAGGAACGGTGACTGTTTTCCTTTAGATCAGTTTGAGGAACGTCGGGCAGCGAGGGGAGCAGGGATGTGCGCTGCCGGAGCTCAGACACACAAACACAAACCTTGATTGAAGCATAACTACTAATCAGTTATTGAACACGACAAATTTCTCAACAGGAAAGACACACTCCCTCACAAACACGTGCCCGTGTGCACACGTCTCACTCCTGCCAGACCATTCAACAAGAAAGCTGCTCATTTGGCTCCTTAATGGAAATTGCTATTTCAAAGCATCTCGGAGAGAGATGTTAACCTTCTGCTTTACTCGTGGCATTAAAAATGGATCAAAGCAGCTGAGCTTTGATGTGAATGGGAGATTTTATTTGGGTCGGAGCAGCAGGAGGGTGCAGGGATGACTCTTCAGCACCCTCTGCTGGGGAGATGCAGCTTTTCCTTCATCATTTGAGATGATTTATTCAGTGTTCTTATTGGTGTTTTAATTACTTGATGCATTTGCTGCACCTCCACTTCAAACTGAGAACCTGCAGCGATAAAGACATAGTCACAGATAAAACAGACAAACAGCTAGCTGCAAAATGAGAAAGCCTGTTTTTGTTGTTGGTGAGTCCATCGATCCGGTTCTGGTGTGCAATATGAGAGTCGATGCGAACTGTCTGGGGTATCAAAGGAGGAGAGAAGGGGGTGATGCTTCTGGGTGGGTGGCGTTTTTAAAGAACGGGGGTGAACTTTTGACCTGGCAGAGTTCCCCCCCCCCCCCCCCCCCCCCCCCACTGAGCTCAGCTTGGCCTGGGAGCTAACACACTGTCCAGAGAGATGGACGCCTATCTGTTTGGGACTTTTCTACAACCGCGTTGTCTCCAGGCTAAGTTGGTAGACCGTGTGTGTTTTCCTCTCACAGAAGAACTGATGCAGATTTCCAGCGGACGCCGCCACCGCTTGCACCCCTGTTGCAGTTTTGTGCGTACGAGCATCCTTGTAGAAAAAGCACAGAGCTGGGGGAGGAGAGAACGGGGAAGACGGAGACACAGATACAGAGTCAAGAAAAAAAAAAGACATAAATAATTGATGACGGATACCGCCTTGCATCTGCCGCCTGCTGCCGCTGAGTTTCTTCAAAGTAGATGCATCAAATAAGAGTCCTAGTCCTGCTGAGGCACGACGGAGCCGCTCATATTTTCTGACCTCGTTATCGCGCCGTGAAAACGCTAAAATCCATCTTTGAATCGTTTTCTGTTAAATAACCTTATCGCCGAAGGTCACAGTCCAGGTCTTCAGGTTGTCTGATCGTTTTATTAATAAAATTGTGTTTTTGAGTGAAAAAGATTCCCAAAGGGGAATTAGTTGAACCTTGTTTGAAAGAGATGAGGAGTTTCCCAGGTTCCTTGTCCACAAGAGTCACAAACAAATGAGTAAAGGCTTTTAGAAGTCTGAATTCATGACTGACGTTAATGTATTTTGCCCCCAAGCCCACTTTCCTTTCTCCGTTTGCCTCATTAAATCTTTGTGGAAACTCTCCAGCTCTTGGGTAAGAGACGTTTTCTATTGATGAGGCTATAAACAAACGGGGGAGTTGGTTGACATCGCCCAAATCTGTGCTCCTCTTTTGTTTGACTCTTAGACTGTTGTCGAGCCCCCTCCCCACTTTGACAAGACTCGAGTACGACTCCCCAGAGCTTTTATCCTCCCTTGTTTTTTGGTCACTCTCTTTTCTTCACTCAACTCCAACCCCTCCTCCCTCAGTCTTTGTTAAAGACAGCCCCTCATCCACTCCCCCACGTCTCTCTCTCTCTCTCTCTCTCTCGCTCTCTCGATATGCGCTCATCTGTTCGGCTGGCTGAGGTCTGACACAGGAGCGCTCTGGAGGAGAGGGTTTGGGGAACCAGCGACTCGTTGCTGCTGTTTTCTGCACGGGGAGAAATAAAAACATTAGGGTGGACTCAAGTGTCCGGATCTGCTTTTTTCCTCCCAACCCTCCTCTTTCTATTCGTTTGTCTGTGTCTGTCCGCTGACTTCTCTCACTGACTCCTCGCTTCAGCCGGTTGAGCGCGCTGACACCCGGACCCGCTGCCTGGGGAATAGGAGCGCTATGAATACCTGCTGCCTAGTTGTCTGGCTTTTTCTAACCAATGAATGGAAAATCCACATTTAGGAGAAGCAGCAACTTGGATCTTTGAGGCTGGGACACCGGGAACACCTCTGGACTGAGACATCCAAGTCAGTAGGGGACTGGATGCTGGACGGTGGAAAAGTTTGTGCCAAGATCTTCTCAAAATGCTCTCTTCTCATTATTTGGATGAAGATCTGTTGTTCTGACAAAACCCTAACGTCTCTTTTGGTTTGAGCATCTTGATTTTCTTCTGATCACTGATTCTTATCCTTTTCTTTGACTGACTTGTTGGTGCGGCGGCGTATGAAAGGATGCAGCTGTGGACCGACAGGCTGAGTGCTGCTCACGATTGTTTGCTTCTCTAACTGTTCCTCCCTCTTTGCCACTTCCTTTGACCTCCTTCCCAGACAACCACTGGGGTTAGAGCAGAGGGGCGAATTGAAGTAGAAGCTCATCGAAGCGTAGAGGAGCGACGGACACGCAGAAGAAAAGAGGAACAAGTCCTCCAGCTTTGGAGCAAACGTGGAGACATTCATCTGCTTTCCAGCCAGCCTTCCAATCAACAGATCAGAGTTTTCTTAGTGACAGGATCACGTTAAACCAAAGACGCGGACTGTTTGGATACAAAGAGTTATATTTAGAAGCAGATCTTTGCTTAAGGAAGCCTTGAGGAGCTCGTGAAGCTGTCACCTGTATGAGAAATACTTTCGACACATGCCATCAGCGACCACGGGACCTCCTTTTGGTCTGGAAGCCTCTTGACAAGTAGAGAAAGAGCCGGCCTTGGCTGACCCCTTTCAGGATTGACTAATTGCCCATCAGGGTTATTAAAACGGAAAAGCGCTGATTCTTTGTGGATTTACTGTCGACCTGCTGTGGGAAATTTCCATGTGGATATCTAAAACACCCACATCCTAGCACACGCGCACACACACACACACACACATATACACTCACACATTTCAAGCGTTGGTACATGTCGCGCACATATACACCAAAAGCATTGTAGCACAAACTGTCAAACACATTATCACCACCCACTTAAAAACACACACACATCAGCTCTGTAAGTATACACAACCTCGTTACACACACACACTCACTTGCACGTTACATTCTCATTAGTTTGTCGTTTCCCCCTGCGTGCACAGAGGAATGGAGGTGGTTTGGACAGGTGGGGGGCTGTAGGAGTCCGACACCCCCGCCCACCGTCTGCCCTTTCCCCCAAATGGATGTTATTATCTATAAAATGTGCTGCTTGCAAAGCGTTGAAAGCTTTCTGCCGCGATTCTCTGAGAGAAACAGTCACCGGGTCCGTGTCACGGTGCACAGCTGGAACCACAGCTGAAGCAGAGTCCATTACTCATCTCTTCTACGTTTTATTTTCATTACCTCCACCGTCAGCCCTCGCCCCACCGCCATCATTTTCTCCAACGGGTCTCTGGGCACCCCTCGGCGCGCTCCTCGTCCCATCATCTCCTCCACCCTGGAGGGGAGGGGGTCGCTGGAGTGGAGCATGAGCGGGTGCCACTACCCCTCGCCACCAGCAGCGGAGCGGGACCGCAGGTACCAGCACAAAGTCTCACTGGTGGTGCGCTACTTCATGATCCCCTGCAACATCTGTCTGATCCTGCTGGCCACGTCCACTCTGGGCTTCGCCGTCCTCCTCTTCCTCAACAACTGTACGTTTCTCCTCATTGGAAGCACACACTCTTTACATCTCTTTGCACTTGGTTGGTCTTGTAACAGAATTCAAAAATAACTTAGTTTCTTCTTTCACCAAGTATGCCAGATGTGACCCAGTAAAATGGTAAATGGCCTGTATTTGATGTAGCGCCATCTAGAGTCCTGGAACCCCCCAAGGCGCTTTACAACACAATCAGTCATTCACCCATTCACACACACATTCACACACTGGTGGGGATGAGCTACAATGTAGCCACAGCTGCCCTGGGGCGCACTGACAGAGGCGAGGCTGCCGAGCACTGGCGCCACCGGTCCCTCTGACCACCACCAGCAGGCAACGTGGGTTAAGTGTCTTGCCCAAGGACACAACAACAGCGACAGACTGAGCGGGCCTCGAACCTGCAACTTTCCGATTACGGGGCGAGCACTTAACTCCTGTGCCACCGTCGCCCGTAAATGTCCTTGTTAACGCAAACGGCTCGTCCAAACCGGCACATTTCAAATCTTCCGCAGCAGCCTTATCAGTCCTTAGAACAGGGACATGAGGACATTGAAAGCCCCTCCGCTTCCTTGACTCTGGGTTAGCAGGGTTCTAAGACAGCTTTGCATCTCCTCTTTAAAGCCTTGGCATTTACTTTGAACTGTGCGATGAAGTATTTCAAGGCGATTAAGTGGCTCAGAAAGTTATCTTTTGGCTTGGAAAACCCCAGTCCTGCCTGTCATCTCCTCTTAATGCAAAATAATGTCTCCCTGGTGTAAATTAAAAGTGTGGACAGTCATTAGTTACCAGGGAGGTTTGGATAGTGGCTGTTGTGTTAAACAGTATTGATTTAGTTACAGTAGACTGCTTTAGCCTCCACGTAACCCTCGGAGGTAGAACCAACGTCCAAATGCATTTTTAATATGAAGAAGTACTTTTTAGTCCAAAAGCAAGGACTACTTGTGTGAAAAATCCCTGCAACCATGCAAAACAAAAGTTATGGATTGGATATTAAAGCCTGGCCTTGCAAACTGTCAGGTGTAATATCTGCTTTGGCCAACGGATATTTTCACAAACACAAAAATGCAACACAGACTCTCTGTTCCTAGAGATTTAATCCATTCCCCGATGCCTTGCTAGTAAAAACTGTGTTAAAGGTTAAATCTCCTTAACTCTCCAAAGTAGTCTGTTATTTGTGCAAGGCGTCTTGCCTCGTAATCACATGCAAATGAACAAATCTGCTCAATAAATAAGCGGTCGATGATGGTTAAGGTCTGGCGTGGTCCATTTGGTTTGCTTTAACACATCTCTACGTTTTATCCCAGAGTCCCTACGTTGGTTTTAATCCGGCGTTTCCCCGTCGTCTTTCACGGTCGCTCTAACTCGCGGCTGCAGGTTGCTTCACGGATGGTGGGTCATTCATAACCTCACTTTGTCACTGAATCATTTCGACCCAGAAAGATTCTGTTAGAGTTAATGCGGACTCGGTTAAAGCAGGCCAATTTTCACCTCGCACTGTGGAGTGAAAGAAAAATGGGCTCTGGAGAAATTGATGAGCTGAAAGGGTTTTATTATGCCGCCAAAAGTCCTCTGCCACGTGGCCGCAAGGACAGCTGGATTGTGACAGTGCTGCTGGTGATGTGTGTGTGTGTGTGTGTGTGTGTGTGTGTGTGTGTGTGTGTGTGTGCGTGCGTGGGTGGTAGGAGGGGTGTTAGAGGAGTCACGCACCCTCGGAGTCACAATTTCTGTTGTCAGCATATGGGATGAGGCACGTCCGTCTACGCGCGGTCTGTGTCCCCCTCCCTCCCCCCTCTAAATAATTTTGCCTCCACGCTGATGCACAATCACTTCATCATTCTGCGCGACCATTCATCAGCCACAGCAAAGGGGAAGGTGACACACATGCAAAGATAAACACGCACACACCCCTTCCTGCACGTGGGTAAATGTCACAGCCAGACACTTATTGATTTGCTGGAGATACGGGGTGAATGATGGCCGTGTTGTGACATTCACACAGGCACGTGAACTTGTGCAGGCTCTGCCAGGTGTAAAGGGAGATGGAAGTGGCTGATATGTTTATGGAAAGACCTTATCTCGTCCTTTCCTTATGGAAATGTGAAGAAATCGTTTAGCTTCGCCTTGCATCTGGGCTCACTTTGTACTGCAGCTTCTCTTTCAGGCTCCTTCTGATTCACCTTGCACGATAGCACGTCTCTGCCTGTGTATGTTTGTTTGTGCATATTTAGACACGGTTTACAAATGCGAGAAAGGAAGTGGGAAGCCTGTCGATGCTCCTTTACACTCCCCCTCTACGTCTACCTCGTGCCATACTCTTTTCCCTTACAGTTTTATGTGTGCTCTTGAATCTCCGCCTAGATGAAAATCAGTTACCGTCATGACTGAATGCGAAGCAGCTTCAGCAGACGATTCATTATTCACCTCTAGCACCAACCTTGCCTCTCTTCTCCCCTCTCCTCATTTATTTCTCTCTCTCACAGACTCCTTTCTCCCCTGAAGCCACGACTGTTGACAAGCAATTTTAAGCTAGCCTAAATTTAAAACTCAGCTGTGTCTCAGGGTGCCGACGGGAACCGCAGAAGTCCTGGGAAAGTCTCCGGCGCTCCGGTTGACGGGGGCCCTGCAGAAACGTGTTATGGCGGGATAATTGATGTGATGTGTTGTATCTTTCTCATTATCCCTCGCAGTGTAGAGGCATCGGGGAGATGTCTGGATGGTTGCTCAGCTTTTTCCACATGTGTGAAGGCAGCTCAGACAACTTGCTGGGTCTGTGCTTAGTGACTCACACAGGTGGTGGTTCAGTGGGGTTGTACACTCTGTACTCAAGTACCCTGGTACACCATGACCAGTCTACTGTATCATTGTAATTAAGGATGTTTTGCTCCCAATCCAAGTCGTTTGATTTTGGGTGTCTGCCGATACCGCAAAGCATTAACATGAGGAGAAAAAACAACACATCCAAGTTCTCCTTTAAAGGTGCAATATGTAAGAATCACATCCTGTGGTCGAATTAGGTAACTGCAGTAAATTGTTTTTGAGCAAAAAAAATGTTTTGAGTTTGGTGTCTTGCTGTTAGCTTGCCAATTCCTTAAAGGAAGTATAATTCGACAGTTGACCCATTAATCGCTTCACACATACATTTCACTGTAATGTTGAGTAATTGGTAATTGAATAAGTAACTTAAGATATTTTTAGAGACGACTATTTGACACTAATTCACCGTTAGCATTGTTAGCTCAACATTAGCCTCTAACAAAACAAAAAGATGCCGTGACTTCTTGGGATCACGAGAAATAACTTCTGGGTTACTCCTGTTTACTGCCTTCAGCCCTTCAAACAACTCTGGAGCTTTTTTGTGCCGGTGTCGATTAACTAATACCTGCTGTGATGTGTTAGCTTGCTGCAAATTTGGTAACCTCACAAACAGGTGTACTGTTGACATCTCCGAGTGTAAACAGTAATTACATCCCACTTTTGTTTTTTTTCCAAAGGAGAAAAACTGACAATGCCCCAGCCGGCTGAGAATGATATCTGTTTAAATGTAACCTTCCTCCCAACATGATGGATTTATTAGACTGTTCTGTGATTATTTTACTGTGGAATTCTTACACATTGCACCTTTAAATTTCCGTTTCATTTGTTTAGGAAAGTACACTGATAAAAATAAAATTAAAAACTGTGTCAGCTAGCTCTGTGTTTTTGTCCTAGTTGCCGCTGTGAAACCGGCACTATTAGTGGGACATAATAGAGGCCAATGATTAGTTTTGGTGACGCCTGAAGAGAAAAGCTGAAAGAGAAAGTAGTTTGTTTTGAAGACTTTGTTTAATTCAGCTGTCTAATCCACCATGATGAGTACCTATTACACACACACATTATAAGTGGCTTTGCTGCCCGGTTTAAATTTTGCTGAACTGCAGACTATCTCTCTCTTAAAGGGTTAGAGTTAGCCTCTGTGCTAGCCTGCTGGCTAACAGCTACATGTTATGATGTCTGAATCCCTAGCCTGTTCTGCCACACTCACCCTGTGTCTGTTCTACTCAGAGGACGAGCCTGGATGATCAGAGGCAGAGAGCACCATAAGGGGCGGGACTAGCCAGCTCAAAAACAACCAATCCAAAAAAAGGCAGACATGATGAATGTAGTTTTTTAGCTGTAGTCAAAGATGGCGTCTGGCGACGGCTCAGACTTATTGTTGAGGTTTTGAAGATGTGTTCAAGTCATTTAGAACAGAGTAGAGAGCCGCAGCCACCTCTGCTTCAGACACCATCTTTGTTGTTAATGAGAAACGGAGCCTCGCGGTGTGTGACGGACGCTGCTCAGCGCTGATTGGCTCGGTTAGAATGGTCAGGGGGTGGGGTTATTTAATGGGAGCGTTACTATAAGGAAGCATTGGCATGGCTGCAGGCTACTGAATGGTTTTGTTTTCATCCAAGAAACAAAGAATATTGATATAAAGGAACTTGTTGAAACTGAAACTGAGCCATTGTTATTCCATTAAAAATCTCTATCAGGATGAACTTAAAAAGTTGTGTTTGTTATTTTACGAGGTTAAATCTGGTCTTTTCCACCCAGTCGTTTTAAAATCACATGATTGGATTGCAGCATCCCTAATTTTGATGTCTGAGAATGCATCTTGTTTGTGAAAGGGCATCCATTTAGTAAAACATCCTCCCCAAATGTTGCCGGGAAGCAGTTATTTTCTTTTAGATGAAAAAGTCAAGTTTTATACGTGATGCTGCTGTCACATCCTGTACTTATGCATGGTGTCTGGAAATGTGATCCTTGTGCTTCAAGTGTTGTGCTCACTACTAAAATCATCCATCCATCCACTGTCTGAACCCACTTTGTCCAGGTGGGGTCGCGGGGGTGGGTGGGTGGGGGGCTGGTGCCTATCTCCAGTGGTCAATGGGCAATAGGGCGGGGTACACCCTGGACAGAGAGCCAGTCCATCGCAGGGCAACATAGAGACACAGGACAAACAATCTTGCACACACACACACACACACACACACACACCTAAGGACTGTCTAGACAGACCAATCAACCTAACAGTCATGTTTTTGGACTGTGGGAGGAAGCCGGAGTACCCGGAGAGAACCCACACATGCACAGGGAGAACATGCAAACTCCATGCAGAAAGATCCCAGGCCGGGAAGCGAACCCAGGACCTTCTTGCTGCAAGGCAACAGCTCTAACCACTGCACCACTGTGCAGCCCCTACTAAAATCATTAGCTGTTCAATCAGTTATACCATCTGCTGAATATTCATTCACTGCTATTCCAATGTGCCGTTATGTAGCGAGGAAACTTTTCTGGTTACAGCCTTCCGACTGAGCACATCAGCTGCCTAATGTGAAAAAATTACATATTTTTGCAATTTAGATCAAGAACATGACATCGCTTGGAGCGATGGGAAATAGCTTTTTCCCTTCTATAAAGTTGTGTATACAATTGGCCTTATAATTGAAAAATAATCATTCTTGTGGGAAAATTAACAGTCTGGTTTTTGTTTTTGCTCTGTTTTGTTGCCAGATATTCTTAAAAATTACAACCGTTTCCTTTTAAGCGGAAAAAAATGACCTGCGTCTTTTTTGTGCAGAAAATGACTAAAGTGTCAGACCTGCAAAGGGTTCAGGTTACATGAGACCTTCCAGCTGAGGTTATAGTCATTTGACACTGCAGGCCTTGTTTTATGGTTCCCACGACTTGAAAAGCTTGGTGTGGTTGTCTGCTGGTCGTGGACCAGCACTGGAGCATGATGTAATTTGATGTATTAGGGGGGAAAAGACTCTTGATTGATTCCACATGTGGCTGCAGGTGGGTGGAGGCGGGGCCGCAGCGTGGATTCCCCCTCATACTTTGACTCATTACTATTGTTATATTTTCTATCTTATCTTACACCTTTCGACTCGAAATCCAATCAAATCCCTCTGCTCTCGATCCTCCTGAGCCCTTCCAACATCAGAAGTCACGGCGTATGGTTTGGAACGATTAGAGTATGGAAGGGACGCCTGACAACACGGTGATGATACTGATATCACGCTCTCCTGTCCGATTAGCTCAGCTTGATCCCTGCAGGGCCGCCATCACTGTGTTCAAACGTGTGAGATACAAAAAGCACAAAGACAGATTGTGTTCTGGTTCTTCTGCCGATTCAATTACTCGTCTTTTACCCGTGGGAAGATTGCTGAAATTTCCCCCAAACTAAACAATTTCTCTCTCTTTTATCTCTTCCAGACAAACCGCCTCACTTCACTCCCGCCCAGCCTCCTGATGGTAAGTCCTCTGAGGTTTCTGTCCGCTCACCTTCGTCGGCCGTTGGGTTTCTGGGCTTTGCCTTTGAGTAATGACCGCAGACGGCGGATCTCTGCCTTTGAAGCGGGCGGCCGTGTGTGCTTTGCCAGATTTAGCAGCTCTGCTCTCTGTTTCTTCACCGTCGGTATGGCAGGCGCACGGCCAGGTCTGCTCAGGCCCTTTGATGTACGGGGGATCTTTTGATGACTTGATTTGATCTGCTCCACGCAGCTAGTTGGGCTGATGTTCAGTATCTGTTACCGCAGCAGCATTCACATCCTTCTGATCAGGTCTAATAGGATAATGCACCCCCACTTTTTGTGTGTATCTAACACTATTTCAGGCTGCGTGAAGTTTGTAGGCCAAGGTCAAAAGCTGCACCATTACCTCGCCTTGTTATCCGTGTGTTCTTGTCCCAGTCGGAGGTTTTAACTCTCTGCTATAGGTGCTGTAAGGTTTCAGTTCGGATCTGGGCGACTAACATAAGCTGTTCATTTGAAAATAAAACCCATTTCCAAATCCGTAGTTCTTGGAAAGCTTTAATTGGAAGAAAACAGCTGGTTTTCAAGCTGTTATCATGAATATTTATTAGCTGTAACAAAGTGAGACAGTGTTTGATAGTTTTGGGGTGTTTTTTTTTTGGTTTGATACACCGGCGGAGTTGCCAGGGATGGACTCCTACTAGCTTTAAAGCTGTTGCATGGGCCTACGTGTATGCAGGCAACAAAAGCCGGAGGTGTTGAGAGAAAACATGAGGAGAAAATGTTTCTAATGATCCCAAACTCACTGATGCCAGGGACAAAAGGACCGCAGTGTGGGCTCGCCGAGTCTGGTTCTGATAATTGCCCAATCACTCACTCCGCGGCTGGTGTGGAAAGACAATTTGTGAAGGATGTCACCTAAAAGCGCATCAGATTGTTAATGATGAAAGTAATCGTCTGACAGGGACAATAGATTGTTCATCGTCAACGCGACACAATTGTGGCGTTTGGACTCAAGAAATACTTGTTTCTGATTGGCTCCGCCTCACCTCTGCACCTGAGGACTATTTTAGGGTGTCTGATTCGTCCCAGTTTGCACCACGTTCACGTAAAGCACTTTCGATTCCACTGCAGCCGGCCGAGCTCACAGCATCTGTTTGTTTTTGTTTTAATGACAGATGCAATTGTCTTGATAAATGATTATTTCTTACAGAGAGGTCTGTATTGGCCTGCCTTTGGAGTGAATATTGTCATAAAATGCAGCTCTCCACTGGAAAAGTGCAAACAGCATTCAGACTGAGAAGCATCCCATCTCTGTTTCCATTGAATTTTCTCCTACAAAAGAAATGAGGCCCTGCTTATTGATTGAGCCACTCATTTCCCATGTATTAAAGTTTTTGCTGGCTGAAGGGCACAGTTTGTTTCTGCACTAGTCAACCGTTTAAAAGCTGCTCCTGGCCCTTAATTACATTTCCAATAGTTCTTTAGACTTTCCAGCAGCAGCCTCTGCTGTTTTAATATGCCCAGCAAAACAAAAAGCAAAGTCTCCCATCAGCAGGGGTAAGCCTGCCCTGTGGGACCCAGTTTCTCTGGGTCATTTAACGCCGAAGAGATTAGTTAGGCAATTAGTGTTGGCCCAAATTCGGGACACTTTTTGGAGACGTGTGGTTTTAGTAGTAGTCGAGGGGTTACTTAGGAGATGCTTCAGTGTGCTAATGAAGCTCTGTCATTTTTCAAATCTGCTTCAAAGAGCACCGCGCTTGTCCTACTGAACTTGTCCTCAGAGCCAAGGATGCTCCACTCCCGAGCACTTAATTACAGAAAGTCACGGACAAAATACCAAGGAGCCTGAATTTTTAACCAGTCTAGTTTGTGTCTGAAACGCCGTTGATGAGATGTCCTTATTAGCGCGGGGAGTTTCTGCAGAAAGAGATGAGATTTTGTTCTGCAAAACGGAAAAGGAATCTGTGGACGTGCTCGAGGGAAAAAAGAAACGCAGGTTTGGCACAGCAGAAGCGCGGCTCTTAGATGACATGTTTGCTGTGCACCACCCACAAATAGCTGACAAATCCTTTCTCCAATGAATGGCCTATAATCACCAGTCAAAAAAGTAACAAAAGTCATAAAGCAGCCTTTAATTAGGCACTTTCTTTGAAAGCTCAAAGGAGCAGTTTCTCAGCTCGGGCCATAGTCATTATTGCCTGTCGTCTCCTGATAATAAAACTGTTGTTGCGTGTTTAGCCAAAGCTAGAAAGCTCATAGAATTTGCAGCTTGAGGGATTAATATTGGACTTCGGAAACGGAGGTTGGCTGAGCGAATGCTTGATGAATGGGGCTTTGGCCCCACGCTGTTAATGTCCGGATTTAGAAAAACAGAGAACACCCACCCACCCCCCGGTCGAGGACGCGGTGCAGGAACAAGGCTCTGATAGCCATCAGTCACAAGAAGGAGACGGGATGTTGAATTAAGCCAAAAATAGTTGTAATTGCACAGAACAGATCTACTTCTCAGGCTCAGATTCCCCATTTCAAACGAAAAAATCACTAAAGATGGCTCCCTGGAGGCTCGGCCTTCATTTCATCCAATTTCAGCCCGAAGTAAGTGACTAAACAAGGGCCAATCAAGATTCAATATAGAACGGAGTCTCAACAGAAAGAAAGTGTAATGGAGGAGTCGGGCCTCGGATAGTTCAGAGGTCTCTTGTGACTGCAGCCGTCTTCAGCACCACTTGCCCAGCAAGAGCCCATTTACAGGGAAGCTTTCAATTTCACATTTGTCACTGACAGGTCTCTCCAGAGGACGCTCCTCACTGACAGTCAAAATAAACTCCTGGACGGAGACGTGATGTGATCAGAGATGCTGGGATGCCAGCAGGCTCACTTACACTTTGGAAAACATTACACACTACTGACTGGTATTCACCTTTGGGAGAATGCAGAAAAACCAAGCGCTCCATTCCTATTACCCCCCACCCCCACCACTCAGATTTGGGGAAAACATACACACAAAATCCTCCTGTAATATATTCTGCCAAAGCCTTTCCCTGTGTTCTTGACAGTAAGCCCGGCTCGGAGAGAGGCAGAATTAATTACGACTCCTTAGCCTATCTTAATTAAATCTTTTCACATCATAGATTTCATACAACAGACTCAAATTATCCACCTCATCTTCTAGCTTGAGCAGGGTTGGGGCGGCTCTGGCTGAGGATGTTTCACATCAAGATATCAAAAGTGTGCAGCAAAGTTTTGTGTTTTAACAGAGAGGAGCGTATTCAGAGGCTAGTTGGACTTTTGAGCGACCTCGACTTTATCGAGAGAAAAGTTTGTTGCCCTTTTTAAACAAACAGACCTCTGAAGCTGCACAGAACTTTGTATCCTTGCTTAGACCCGTCTGGTTTCATTTCAGCAGACGTTCAACTCTCTGACGAGCGACGAAGTCGATACTTCTAAAAGAAACAAAACCAGAACATTTCTGGGAGGAATTTGTAAGAGTTCAATCTTAGCTAGATGGTAATAATAACGTCTGTAAAGCCCAACGGGAATTACCTTTATAATAATTTAAGCCATGACAAAATGTTGCTGTTTGGATACGTGAGCATGGTCAGAAATAGGCCGTATATGTAAGCATACAGTCTGGCCATGAACCATTGAAAAAGCATACTCACAAGGGTGGAATCTACGGTTGTCCATCAAAATGTCTCTACACAACTGGAGAGCGCTAGGACCAATCAGAGCAAAGAACAACGTGACATACTCACGTCTACGGATGTCAGTCAACGCGGCAGTCTACAATACACCAAAGAAGAAGGAAATATGTCCTTCTTTTAAATAAACAACTTAAGTCAACTATATCTGCTCTTGTCACAAAGAAAGTGTAAATTGTTAGCATTTCACACTCGCGCCGTTCAAAAGCTGACGCCATCTTTGCTATTTATCTCTATCGCAGCTCTAGCGTAAGGCCCGCCCAACATAGTGTGGGTTGCCAGACATAAAACTGTTCAGGGCAATGGTAGAGCTGCTGATTAAAAAGGCTCCTGAGTCAGAAATGATGGAAGTCTGGTCTTTATTCACGTTAAAACTTATTCTCTTGAGTGTTTTAACCCTTTAGGCGCCATAGTTTTTTCAGTAAAATATGAATTTTTATATTACTATTTAAAGAGCTTGTAGCTTAAATCTGGTTAGAGATAGAGGAATATTGTAAATTAGAAAAATCTTCAGTATGAGCCAAATTTTGTGATAGGAACAAATTCACTCACATAATTTGCATATTATGACATCATCAGGTAGCAGCCATATTGGATTGCATCACATTTGCAGATTTTTTAATTTTTTTAATGTTTTTGTCTTATTTTCTTAGTGTTGTTATTGTTTGATACATATATACATATTCCTATGTAAATGGTAAATGGTAAACGGCCTGTATTTGATATAGCACCTTCTAGAGTCATGGAACCCCTCAAGGCGCTTTACAACACAATCAGTCATTCACCCATTCACACACTGGTGGGGATGAGCTACAATGTAGCCACAGCTGCCCTGGGGCGCACTGACAGAGGCGAGGCTGCCGAGCACTGGCGCCACCGGTCCCTCTGACCACCACCAGCAGGCAACGTGTGTTAAGTGTCTTGCCCAAGGACACAACGACAGTGACAGACTGAGCGGGGCTCGAACCTGCAACCTTCCGATTACGGGGCGAGCACTTAACTCCTGTGCCACCGTCGCCCTGATTTGTTTGATACATTTCTACATATTTCTATGTAGACATATGTAACTATGTATGTACACATATAATACTTATTACTTTATTGGCATTTTGTTATGTTTACTGCGTATTAATCAAGAACACTGTTTTTGGTGTTTCAGTGTCATGAACACATTTCACTCATCCCTTCTGTGGTTTATTTTGTTTATAATTGTTATATATATATATACATATATACACATATATATATATATATATATATATATATATACATATATATATATATATATATATATATA